CAGTCGCTCTGGGCTCCCAGGCACCATAGACACGAGACGCCCTAGAAGGAAAGACTGGGGCCGCGTTAGTCGAGGGGAGACAGGAAGGAACAGCTGCAGGGAAGGCGGACCCCAGGCAGTCCTAGCGCAGCCGGGAGGCATCTTTGCTGAAACTCAGAGACACCGATCCAGGCCGGAGCCCAGGGGGGCCGGCGCCCGGCCCCAGGCGAGGGGTAACTAGACTCGATCCTGGCGAGCGTCGAGGCCCACTGCCCAGGGGCCGCGCCTTCCCCAGCCTGAGAGAACCCTCCCTGGTCGGCGCCCTCCTTGGAGTAACGGTGGCACGAGCTGTTGCCCGGGGCGTCTCTGGCTCTTGGGAGAGCGTGCCCTGGGGTTCTGGGGCAGCTCCAAGGAGAGGGATCCACGGCCCTTAGCTGCGTCCCAGTGGAGTAAGGACGACTAGACTTCAGGTGCTCCGGACTCTTGGCCGCCCCAGCCCGTTTCATTTTGGGGGTTCCCGCCCGGACTCAGCCTCTTCCGGCAGGAATCAGGGAGAGCCTGGGTGACAGGGCTCCAGGCAAAAACTGTGCCGTCTTCTCCGACCCATGTCCCGTCTCCCTGGGTCCTAGGGGATCGCAGCTGCGCGCAGCCCCACTTTTCCGTTTTGCACGTGTTTTCCATTGAAGCTGTGCCGCTACCCGGTGTGGCCTCGGCTCTGTGCAGCTCCACTCGCCTGCGGGGCAAGGGGGCATTTCTTGATTGACGCCCTCCTGCGGTCGTCACACCTCGCGGTGAGCAGTTTCAGCTAAGGTCCTCCATTAATCGTAGAAATGAAAAGGCTTCCCAGCTTTTTCTATGGAGATTTTATTTAATTATTTATTTACGTCTTGGAATTATTTCTCCAGCCGCGGCGGGACTGCTGTAGGAAGAAGCGTGGACTGGAAGCCAGACGCACCTAGTTGGAGTTTCACTCCGCACATTTTTGTCCTAGTAACTACTGTGTGCCAGCAGTGAGCAAGACAGATGTGGTTCTTGTCCTCACCGAGGCAGGAACCAAGTTTTCATACAGTGACTTACGATGTGCCATGAAGTAGAAGTGCCTCGTGATCTGAAACCTTGTAATCAGGGGGCATCAGCTAGTTGGAGAAGGAGGCATGGAAGTGATGTTTGAAGAATGAGTAGTTATCCAAGAGCCTATAGAGCAGTGGTTCTCAACCTTCCTAATGCCGCGACCCTTTAACACAGTTCCTCATGTTGTGGTGACCCCCAACCATAAAATTATTTTCGTTGCTACTTCATAACTGTAATTTTGCTACTGTTATGAATCGTAATATAAGTATCTGATATGCAGGATGTATTTTCATTGTTACAAATGGAACATAATTAAAGCATAGTGATTAATCACAAAAACAATATGTAATTATATATGTGTTTTCCTATGGTCTTAGGCGACCCCTGTGAAAGGGTCGTTTGACCCCCAAAGGGGTCGCGACCCACAGGTTGAGAACCGCTGCTATAGAGGGATGAATAGTTGCCAATGCACCTAGTCAAGTCACCCTCCCCCAGCTTTTCTCATCTGAAAATTTAAGACTTGGCCTAGCCCGGCCAGTGTGGCTCAGTAATTGAGTGTCGACCTGTGAACCAGGATGCCAGCTAACCATTCCCAGAGTTGCTGGCTCCATCCCCAGTGGGGGGCATTCGGAAGGCAGCCGACTGATGATTCTCTCTCATCACTGACAATTCTATCTCTCTGTCCCTCTCTCTTTCTCTCTGAAAGCAATAAAAATATATATTTTTAAAAAGACTTAGCCTAAAGGTTCTGAATCTTTTTGGGTTGGGATCGTAGACATCTTTCAGAATCTGAGGACAGACAAGAGCTACAAGTATAGACAAATGCAGTGAGTGTAATATGCTATCATTGGAGTTAAAACTTTGGGAGAGAGTATGAATATTTATCTGTGCCTTTGCTTTATTATATAAACTCTTTGGGAGGATATACAAAAAACTAATATTATTGTCGATGAAGAGAGAGGTGGAGTTGGAGGGAGTCTGTGCTGTATACTTCATGAATATTTGGGGAATTGAAGGATGTGGATGTGTGATCTATTCATAGCAAAGTAGGTCCTGGAAGAAGTGGCTGATTCTAAGTCTGGGGCAGGAAAAGTAGGAGGTGCACTGGAGCATCTCCTGCCAGAAACTGCAGAGAGAAACCAGGAACCGCCTTGAAGTGTCTTCATTGGCCAAATATGGGGTGATTGAAGCATCAAAAACACATTCTGGATTATAACACATTGACTATAACAGTTCATGGTATCTGAGTGATGGTGTAGCTGAAAGAATACCAGCTAACAAATGTAGGAAGATTGAAAAAAAATCAGAAAATGTAATAATTCATTCAAGAAAGAGTCATCATTAATCACCAAAAGCATTGAATGAAACATTGTTGAGGATGAGGATTTTCACAAGGTTTCATAGTATCACCCCAATTGATTGGCTTCTGGATTAAAAAGGAAAACCTCTACAAAAGGCATTTTGGGAGCAAATAGGCAAAAACTGAATATGAATTGTATGTTAGGTGACATTATTAATATTCACACCCTAGCTGGTATGCTCAGTGGTTAGGGCATCAGCCCTTGGACTGAAGGGTTGGGAGTTCAATTCAGGTCAAGGGCACGTACCTCCATTGCAGGCTCAATCCTTCGCCCCCTGGCCATGTTCAGGAGGCAACCAGTCGATGTGTCTCTCACATCGATATTTCTCTCTCTGTCTCTCCCCCTCCCTCCACTCTCTCTAAAAAATATATTAATGGAAAAAATATCCTTGGGTGAGGATTAACAACAACAAAAATTAATATTCACTGTGTTAGTAGTGATATTAGTATTGTGGGTAAATGTTTTTATTCTTGGGAGGTGCAAGCATACTATTTAGAGGTGAAGTGTTATCATATCTGCAACTTCCTTTCAAATAATTCAATACACACACATATATATGCCCTCAGATATGTGTCTATAAAGAGGGGAATAATGTTAAAAAATGAAAACTTTCACTTTCTTAAGGTAAAAATTATTTGAATTATTTATTGAGTCTGCATACAAGTTCAGGTGGTATATTGTCCCTGGGAACCATTTGTGGAAGGCTGTTTGTGGATCACTGGTGCCTCTGTAGTCTGGTCTGATATTGTGCCCTCTCCACCAGTCATAACTCTCATCACATGGCCTGATAGAGAATTCAGGCAGGTGCTGGGAGATTAAAGAAGTAGCATGTGCACTTCTGTGCACCAAGGACAGACACAGAATTGGGGGACAAAGAAAAGACAGTTATTATCTGAAGCTCAAAGGTGCCTTCAAAAGTTATGTTTAGGCCTGGCAGGTGTGCCTCAGTGGTTGAGCTTGGACCTATGAACCAGGAGCTCTCTGCTCAATTCCAGGTCAGGGCAAATGCCTGGGTTGTGGGCTTCCCGCAAAGGAGGCAGTTGATCAATGATTCTTTCTCATTATTGAAGTTTCTTTTTCTTCTTCTTTTTTTTTAACTGTTGAAAGTATTACAGATTTCCTGTTTGTTTGTTTGTTTGTTTGTTTTTCCCATTGACCCCCTCCACTCCACACCCGCCCCTCCCAGGCCTTCACCACTCTATTGTCTGTGCCCATGGGCTATGCCTATCCTATATCATAAAAGGTTAATATGTATAGGATATTACATTGTCCCCTCGACCGGGAGTTCAACCAGGACTTTGACCAGGGGGTGGGGCCGGCTGGCCAACTGCCTGTGGCCCCGGCCAGCCCGATCGGCCCCAATCGGGGCGGGCCAGCCAGACTCCACCAGTGCACGAATTTGTGCACTGGGCCTCTTGTATGCATATAAGTTCCCTGGTTAATCACTCCCCACTCACCCCCCAATCCCTGCCTTCCCTCTGAAATCCATCAGTCTGTTCCATGCTTCTATGTCTCTGGATCTACTTTGTTCATCAGTTTATTTTGCTCATTAGATTCCACATATGAGTGAGATTATGTGATACTTATCTTTCTCTGACTGGCTTATTTCACTTAGCATAGTGCTCTCCAGGTCCATCCATGCTGTTGCAAATGGTAAGAGTTCTTTCTTTTTTACAGCTGCATAGTATTCCATTGGATAGATGTACCACATATTTTTTTATCCACTCATCTACTGGTGGACACTTGGACTGTTTCCAAATCTTAGCCATTGTAAATTGCACTGCTATGAACATAGGGGTGCATATATTCTTTCCGATTGGTGTTTCTGGTTTCTTAGGATATATTTCTAGAAGGGGGGGGTCATTGGGTCAAATGGGAGTTCCATTTTTAGTTT